ACTTTGTTTTTGAGATGACGAAATGCTGTTTTCTTTTAGCTTTCGCAATATTTTCTAGTGTCCCAGCTGGGCACACATATAGCACTCCGCTCCCTCTGCTGGATATTTGTCACATTAGTAATTCTGCTTGGAGCCAAGGAAGATGTGAGCCGTAAGTGAATTCCTGGCACTAAAGTATGGACAACGCTTCTTAACTAATGGTAAATCCAATGAGAAAGTTCATATCTGCCTTATCTAATCTTAAATAAGAGAATTTTTGGAAAGAAGGCCGGTAATAGTATTGGAGTCAGGACCAAATTGCAGCTTTTGTAGGGTTTAAAGATAAGTTATTTCTGCTGATATTTCAGCACATTGCCATCCAGGCTTATTTACTGTTAATGCATCATCCACTGTACTAGGAGCAGTGCTCATTATAAGCAAGTGGAACATTTTGCTTTGAGAGTTGTAATAACTTAGGAAGTTTAACTGGAAAGGAATATCATTTACTGTTCAACACTGAATACTACCTGTGGCGTACATAGGCTAGCCCCAACCTGGGACTGACAGTTCTGTTGACCCATCCCCGGGTCTGCTTTATATTTTTAATTATTTTTTCATATCCAGAAGTGCTTATCACGCGCAACCAAACTTTTGTCCACTAAATCACTATGACTTTTTAAAAAAACTACTAACCACCACCAGTAATCGTCCATGTAGCCAATTAGATATTTACATGCAAAGCCCATGAAGGGCAGTGCAACCATCGGAAGTGAGGGAGAGGTAGGGAGGAGGAAAGGGGATAAATCAAAACGGACTTAGATGGGGATATAAAGCACTGTATTCCCTGCGGTGCCCACCTCTCTCTAAAGGCATCAAGAATATTGGTGGACATTGCGTGCTCCCTCTCCTAAGACACCCAGGCAATGTAGTCACAGAAAAGGGGTAGGCAGTCAGTGGCAATGTCCTCCTCCATAGCCCACTGCCTGGACCTGTTAATAGCAAACTTGGCCAGACCCAGGAGCAGACCCACTGACTTGCTCACACTGGATGCCCAAAGATCAGGAGCACTGGACTGAAATGGCTGGGTCTGCTTTATAGTTTTTCTATTCCTGTATGGGACATGAGCGTCACTGGCAAGGCCAGCACTTGTTTCCCATTCCTAGATGCTCTTGAATTGAGTGGCTGTCCAGGTCATTTCAGAGGGTAATGAAGATCCATCTACATTGCTGTAGGTCTGGAGTGCACATGAAGGTCAGATCAGGTAGGTACAGTAGAGTTCCTTCCACAAATAACGTTGATGAACCAGACAGGCTTTTACAGTCAGTGATTGCTGTCTGGCTAGCTTTTAGTTCCAGATTTTTATTAAATTCAAATTTCACCACCTGCCATGGTGGGATTAGAACCCCTGTCTCCCAAACATTAGCCTTGGTCCCTGCATTGCTAGTCACCCCTCAGCCTTCGATGCTGAAGGGAAAATAGTCCCAGCCTATTCAGCCTCTCCCTATAGCTCAAACTATCCAACCCTGGCAACATCCTTGTAAATCTTTTCTTTCGAGTTTAAGAACATATTTCCCATGGCAGGGAGACCAGAACTGAACACAGTATTCCAAAAGTGGCCTAACCAATGTCCTGTACAGCTGCAACATGACCTCCCAACTCCTAAACTCAACACACCGAGCAATAAAGGCAAGTGTACCAAATTCCTCCTTCACTACCCTGTCTACCTGCGAGTTCACTTTCAAGGAACCATGAACCTGCTGTCCAAAATCTCTTTGTTTTGCAACACTCCCCAGGACCTTACCATTAAGTCTATAAGTCCTATTGATTTTCCCTACAAAAATGTAGCATCTCGCATATATCTAAATTAAACTCCATCTGATAAATGTGCTTTGCAAGGTGTTGATTGAGGGAGGACATCTGGACAAATTCTACTATTCAGAAAATATCAATCCTGCTTTCATACCTGGTGAAACTCTCCTGGAATGTTTTATACTCCTGAAGATATCGGAAAGAAGCTTGACTGATGGGTAATCCTCTCTCTCTCCCAGTCCCACTCTCTGGGGCACATTCACCATTTTCTCTAATTCATTCTTCCTTTGAACTGACCAACCTTCCTTACAGTTTGGCTTTTTGGGAAGAAAGATAGAAATAAGGTGAGGCATGATGCAGTAAATGTAGCACACTTGAGGGGAACAGGTAACTTTAAAGAGATAATAGGAACTGCTAATGCTGGAGAATCTGAGATAACAAGGTGTAGAGCTAGATGAACACAGCAGGCCAAGTAGCATCAGAGGAGCAGGAAAGCTGACGTTTCGAGTCTAGATCCTTCTTCAGAAAAAAGATAACTTTAAACCTCTGGCTCCCGAAACCCTCCATCTTTAGGATTTCCTCGCCTCATGATTAGGTCTGGCCATTATCTCTCTTGCAGTTTCCAGGACCTTACTGCACTTAAATTGGCTTTGAAGGTATGCCACTGGCTATGATGTGCTTTGTACTGATCAGAAGAGATGAAAGGCACTATATAAATGTTCTTTCTTTCAGCTCTATGTGTGCCTTTTTCTCATTGCCCCTTTTCCACGGTTCCATAGAGTACAGCAATCAAGAGTCATAGGCCTCAGTCATAGAGATCTACAGCACAAAAAATGCACATCAACCCATCGTTGTCTGCAACAGTCAAAAACAGTCACCTAACTATTCTAATCCCATATTCCAGCACTTGGCCCTTAGCCTTGTATCCATTGGCATCTCAAGTGCACAGCTCTGAGCATTTCTGCTTCTACCACCCTTACAGGCAATGAGTTCCAGATTCTCATCACCCTCTGGATGAAAATGTCTTTCCTCACATCTCCCCTAAACCTCTTACCCCTTACCTTAAATCTATGCCCCTGATAATTGATCCTTCAAGGGGAACAGTTTCTTCCTGTCTACACTACATTTTGCATTAGTTTTATATGCCTCAATTCTGCCCATCTCAAACGTGTACCCTCACAATCTTCTCTGCTCCAAGGAAAACAACCCCACCTGTCCAATCTTTCTTTATAACTGAAATGCTCCAGCCCGGCCAACATCCTGGTAATTCTCCTTTGCATCCTATCCAGTGCTATCACATCCCTCACATAATGTGGATTCCAGAACTGCAAATGATACTCTAGCTGTGATCTAACCAATGTTTTATACAGTTCTGACTTAGACTGCCTTTTCTTAAAAGCTATGTCTTGGCTAATACATGGAAGTATACCATATGTTTTCTTAACTACTTTATCTACCTGTGTTGATACCTTAAGGGACCAATATACATGCACACCAAGGTCCCTCTGATCTTTGGTGCTACCCAAGGTCCTACCATTCGTCGTAGAGTCATAGATTGATACAGTATGAAAACATACCTTTTGGTCCAACGAGTCCATGCTGAACATAATCCCAACTAACTAGTCCCACCTGCCTGCACCTGGCCCATATCCCTTCAAACCTTTCCCATTCATATACTTATCCAAATGTCTTTTAAATTTTGTAATTGTACCCATATCCACCACTTCCTGAGGAAGTTCATTCCACAAATGAACCACCTTCTGTGTCAAAACATTGCCCCTCATGTCTTTTTCAAATCTCTCTCCTCTCACCTTAAAAATGTGCCCCATTGTCTTGAAATCCCCCATCTTACCATTAACCCTGTCTACACCCCACATTATTTTGTAAACTTTTGTCAGGTTGCTTGTCAACCTCCAATGCTCCAGTGAAAAAAGTCCTAGCCCTTCCTGTCTCTCTTTATAACTCAAACCTTCCATACCTGGTAACATTCTGGTAAATTTCTTCTGAACCCTCTCCAGCTTAATAATATCCTTCTTATAACTGGGTGATCAGAACTGGACACAGTATTCCAGAACAGGCCTCACCAATGTCCTGTCCAACATCAGCATGACTTCCCAACTCCTATACTGAAAGGACTGAGCAATGAAGACAAGTGTGCCAAATGCCTTTTTGACCACCCTGTCTATATATGACACAAACTTCAAAGAATTATGTACCTGCACCCCTAGGTCCCTCTGTTCTACCAAACTACCCAATGCCCTACCATTAATTCCAAATGTAACCATTTTTCCCCAAGAACTGTTTATAGGCCATTCCTGATTTGCGATAGTCTGACTTATGAACACTCATTCTTACAAACGAGATCTCATACAGGGGTGTATTAATATTAATTTTAAAGATCTGACATGAAAACATTTCCTCATATTTGTGAATGACAATGTTATGTTATCTTGCATTGTGTTCCGAATTTCATACAAATCAACTTGTGAACATACTCAAGAATGGAACCTGTTCTCAACCCATGGACTGCCTGCATCTTTTTTAGTTATCAATTTCAAATCTTGAGGTTGAGATTTTGGTCATAACTCTTATTGAGAATTCTATCAAGTAGTTAGATGTTGTATAACTGGATGTATACTACCTTGATGCAATATACAAGCATTTGTTATCATTCTAATGAAATTGCAGGATGGCAGATATAAGCTGGCTTTTAGGTACCATTTGAATATGGATTTTGTATTTAAAATTTCTTATTTTGGAGGCGATTTTTGTTATTATTTGATGCCGATTTCATATTTTGTTTGTCAGTTTCTTTAACTTTTCACTAATTTATATTTAACAAAAATAATTAGTTTTATGCCTCGAGTAATAATAGTGAATGATGTAATTTATGAGTGTTGTATAAACCATATTAACCATGTAACGTGTAATCAACACTTACTGTAACAAATTCTCTCATGCTGAATCATATCCAAATTTATTTTAATGACTCTAATTAATTCAAATCTATGTGAGTTGCTTCTATATATCTCTGATGTTAACATACAATTGATCTGTATCTCTGACCCACTCACCCATGACTGCCACATTGTTTTAACTTTCAATTATTTATTTACAGTGTGGAATGTACCATTCAGTGTAATAAAATTTACTTCAAATCAATAGCCACAATAAGGCAATCTATCCAAATTCTATTGGCTGCGGTTTTGTTGAAGCAAAGCTGCTCCCCTTTCTCAATGGGCACGTTAAATCAGGCAACAAATCAGATGGTGGCCGATTGCTGTTCAGTGCTGTGATGTCAGTAAGTAGGCAGACAGCCAATCACATTGAGGTATTAACACAGCGAAGCAAGAAGTTAAAAGAACTTCACTGTTAATTTAAAATTTCAGATAGTCAAATAAATGTATGACTG